TGCATTGCACCATGGGTGCGGGCACGCATGTACTCGTATGGGCTTTTGGCCCATGACGACATCCCTGCTAGAGGGCATAAATTCAGGGGCTGCCTGGCGTTTCCACAGCCTGAAACAGGAAGAGGGTCTGGGGGGGGGGAAGGGGGAGGAAACACTCGGGTGAGACTCGCCCAGGGAGTGGCCCCTCCCACAACGGAGCTTCTGCCTCGGAGGGAAGAGCTGACATAAAAATGAGGAACTGCCTGATGGAAGCAAAAGCAGAAGGGCCCCAACAGGCTTCCTCTGCAAAAGGCCTCAGTCCGGGGTGCGGGGGCGGACAGAGACTGACCCCCCCTTTCCCTTGGCGGAAGCTGTGCACAATATGGGAGGGGGGGGTCAGTCTCTGGCCTGCAGGAGCCGTTAAGCAGGACGAAGGCTGCAGTGCAAGGACACCCAGCCTGGCTAAGGGCAGCCTTTGGGTGCTGATGGACGGCCAGCCCACCGTCCTTCAGCTTGGAGGGTAGAAACCCTCCAAGAAATGCCCCCTGCCCGTCCAGCTGCCTGACCTCCTCATCTGCCCCTCAGTCTCTCCTTGCAGCCTGGGCACCAAACTCGGGGAGGGGTTTTTAACCAAAGGGGGGGGGGGCTACAGATCTACCACAGCCGACACCTGCGGTCCTGCAGGAGCGCCCGGAACGGCCATCCCTGAGTGGGCGTTGCAGTGGAGGTTAGGAGGCCCGGGGCAGAAGGCGGAAGACTGACCAGGTAGCTGATGTAAGGCAGGTAGAGGTAGGTGAGGACCGGCTCCCCGTAGAGGTGTGCTATGTGGACCAGGCAGGTGAGCACCGGCTCGGAGACCATGTCGCCCGCCACGGGCCGCCTCTGCTCCAGGTTCCCAGCGTTCGGAGGGCCACCCTCTTCGGCCCCAGCCACAAACTGCTGCCTGCTTGCACCTGGGGGGGGGGGAAGCAGGAGCGTTGCCTAGGCGGCGGGAGGGGTGCATCCCGAGCCTTGCCAGCCATGCCACGTTGCCACCCGCACTCCCGTCCCAGGAGAGAAGCTCACCCAGATAGCAGGAGGCCAGCAGCCGGAGGAGGTTCCTGGCGACGTACCGGCAGGCGGTGGTGGGGCCCAGCTTGGCCGAGAGCCACCGCACCATCTTGCAGGCTGTGTCTGCAGTGAAGAGGGCAGATAAAGCGCAGCCCCAAAGTCACACCCAAAGCTCCCAGCCGTGCTGGCTCTCCTGCCCCCTGGGACACAGCAGGCCAGGCAGAGCCTCCAGCTGCTACGCTGGGGCACCCCCTCCCCCGTGGCTCCCCCCTCCTGGATTCTGACCCCCGCTGGGTGGGGCGCTCCTGCTCTTCAAGCCAGGCCAAGGGGAGACCCTGAGCTGCAACGACCTGCTCCGTAGATCATTGCCCAGCAAGCTCCCCCCCTCCCCAAAACTCTCTACAGGACCCCTCTCAGTCACGCGGGCAACTCACCTAGCAGGATACTCTGCTCTTTGTCCACATCCTGGTCCAGCAGATCTTGCCGGCTTTCCCCAGGCTCTGCCTGCCCATCCTCCTCAGCCAGAGTGGCCTCTGCAGAGTGGCCAGCAGCTCCTGAGAGAGCTGGCTCTTCTGCGGTCAAAGCAGCCTCCTTGCGGCCTTCTTCCCCGTCCTCTTCCTCCTCCTCCTCCTCCTCGCTGTGCTTCGGGTCACGGCTGCCGTCCAGGCACTGAAGGCCGGCAGCTTTATCTTGTAGGTCCTCTGCCAGGAGTTCCTCGCCGGCATCATCCTTGTCGCTCAGCTGGCCCAGGCTCAGGGCCTCGGCCAGGTAGAGGCCGTTTGGAAGCTCCTCGCTCTCTGGCGGGTAGGCCTGGTCGTGTAGGCTGATGCCGGACATGTAGTTCACCAGCTCCAGGCCGGCGTCCCCCTTGGCCTCCTCCCCAAAGGAGCGAGAGTCCGGGCTGCTCCTGCCGCTCTCCTCGCCGTCCTCCTCCGCCGCGCTCAGCATCAAAGCCTTGTTCTCCTCCTGGAAGGAGCCCTCTGCACCCCCCAGCACCTGCAGGATGTGAGGCAGCAGGTGGGCGAGGAAGGGCTGCAGCCCCAGCCGGGCCATCAGCTGGGCCACGAAGCAGTCCGTGTAGAGGTAGAAGCGGCCGTGGAGGCCCCGGGGGCTCTCGTAGGCACCGATCAGGAGCTTGAGCAGGTACTTGTTGGTGTTCTTGGGGCCCAGGGCTCTGGCGATGGGCTCAAAGAGATACCAGGCGGCGTGGACAGCCGTCCTCTGCTCAGACAGCAGAGCTAGGATGAAGGGCAGCAGGATCTCCAGGCCTTCGGGAGTGATGCCGCTCAGCACCCCGTCCAGCTGCTGCCACAGCTGGAAGACCAGCTCCCGGCCCTGCCCCTCGTCCCCGGCCTCTTGGGAGAGGTAGGTCAGGATGAACCTGTGCAAGGCAGGGAAGTACGCCGGGAAGGGCAGGACCCCGCTGTAGGGGCTCAGCAGCTGCCAGGGGCACGGCGGGGGCAGGCCTTGCCAGACGGGCTTGTAGGCGAAGAGCTGGGGCCCCCTGCTGCTCCCCTCCTCCCCGAAAAGCTGGGGGTCCGGGACCTTCAGCCGCAGCAGCACCTCCAGCAGATGCTGCAGTGGAGGGGGAACCTCCTTGGGATGAAGCCAGCAGAGCCTCCGGACAGTCTGGAAGCGCTCCCGCAGCGAGGCCGTCGGCTTGGAGGTGCGCAGCTTGGGGGCAAAGAGGATCTCACCCACTAGCACCCCCAGCACCTGCATGTCCCTCTGGAAAAGGTCCGAGAGAGCCACTGGGGGCGGCAAGGGGGGTTGCTCCAGCCGGCCCACCGCCCCGTGCGCAGCCTTCAGCAGGAAAGCATCCAGCTTCTCCAGCTCCTCCAAAGCCTGGAGCAGCTTGTGGCCCTCTGGGAGGACCAGCTTCTCCTCCACCCCTTCCCCCTGGAGGAGGGGGCCAGCGGCCTTGGTCCTCCAGCCGAGAGGCCTGCTGTCTACAGGGAAGCCGGGGCCCTGGGTGGGAGGACCGGGCAGCTCCGAGCCTCTGCCGGGCACCGGGGTAGATTCCAGGGCCTCCGCCCCCTGCTCCACCTCCTCTCCCAGGCTCGGCCCGAACTGGCTTTCGCAGGCAGCTGCATCAATGACCAGCCCAGCAGTCGCATGTCTCCACTTGGGGGTCTCCAGCACTCGTGTCTCCTGGACTGCGGGGATGAGGGGTCGGGCGAAGAGAGGGGCCTCCGTAGGCAGAAGGGTGGCCCCCACCAGCCGCCGGGGGTGGGGCTGATCGAAGAGTTGCACCACTCCGTAGCTGGTGAGGTGGGTGTGGTTGTCCACCAGATGCAGGCAGACGTTCTTCTCCTTGACCGCCTCCTTACCCAGCAGCTTGTAGCCAAAGGTGAGGTCGATCCAGTGGTGCAGGTCCCGAGAGACCTCTGGGCTCTCTAGTAGGGTCCGGTGGGCAGCAACAAACTCTTCGCAGGAGCCGTACCAGGGCGGCACCTCCAGATCCGGCATGTCGGGGTGGATGGACTTGAAGATGGTGGGGTCCGAGTAGAACTCGGGGATGCACTCATCAGGGGTCCAAGCCTGCATGCGCTCCAGGTTGGCTGGGTATTCGTTGGGCTCCCACTGGGACCGGACATGGGCGCACAGCACCGCCTTGGGTGTCCGCCGGGCTGTGTAGACGTAATAGGTGATGTCGGAGAGGACGTCCGAGATGTGATGAGGAACGTGAGGCTGCTCCCCACTCAGGCCGCTTCCCCCCACCACAAAGGCCTGCTTGGTCATCTCATAGGTGAAGTCCAACTGCTTGTCCCCCTTGTTCAGGCGGAACTTGGACTTCCGCAGGTCCCGGAATTGTCCTCCTGGGGTGGTGAAGTCCATCACCCAAGGGAGCACCGGGTGATAGTTGGGGTCCCTCGGGCGCCGCCCCACCAATCGGTTCAGGTGCATGAGGTAGTCAAAGTTGCTGAGGCGGCCATTCACCCAGTCCAGCACCAGATCCCCGAGGTCTAGCAGGGACCCAGCCCCTTCTTCTTCAGCCGCGGGGCCCCTGGTCCCCTGGCCCTCTGCTGACACTTGGTCTGGAGTGCTAGAAGCTACTGCTGCGGCTCCTCCCTCCCCGGCCCTCTCTCTGCCCGGCTGCTCGTACCCTTGAAGTGGGACCCTGAGCCGGGCACACAGCTTCTCATCCACAGCCACGTCCTCTAGCGAGAAGATGCCACATGCCAGGCCTGCCTCATGGCAGGCCTGCATGGCCAGCAAGACCTGGAAGAGGATGAAGAGCAGTTTGGCATGGCTGTTTGTCAGCTTGGCGGGGCTGAAGGTGATGAGGTCACGCAGGGAGTACCGGACGTACGGGAAGACCAGGAAGAGCATCTCCGAGGACTCCACCAGGACATCCGCCTGCAGGACACTGGAGAAGCGTGGGGGGGCGTGGCAAGGGGCGTCGTCCTCTTTAGCAGGAGAGGAGCCAGAGAGGGCCCTCCCCACGTGGACCAGCGGGCAGCAGTAGAGCTTCTGGAGGGCTGCCCGGAGCCCCTCCAGGGCCTGGACAGAGGCTGGAGCCGGGGCCGGGTAGTAGCGCTGGACGTACGAGCGGTGGGCTTGTTTCCAGAGATTCCTACAGTTCTGGGAAGCCACCCTGCGCATGAACTCGTGAAGGGTCTCTGGGGTTCCTGTGGGCTCTTTCTGCGCATTGGCACTTGTGGTCAGCTGGTAGCGTAGCCAAACTTTCTGCAGTCCGTGGAGTTCCACTCGGGTCCAGCCTGCGGGCAGCTTCTGAACCGAGTGCTGGAGACAGGCGTGGATCTCCAGCTCGCTGAGGCCTTCGGGCTGTGGGCACGAGACAGGCAGCACCCCCCGCTCCTTCAGGCTCGCCAGCCATTTTAAGGGCACGAGAGCAACAACGTGGGAGCCCCTGAGCAGCAGCTGACTGCGGGCGATGCCCAAGTCTTTCTCCACCTGTGCCAGGAGGGGATCCATTGCAGCTCCTCACCGTTCCCTGCAGAGGCAAAGACTCGGGGTCACACAGGGAAGGAGAAGCGGGCAAAGCAGCGCCACTTCCTACTCACCCCCTGCCCCTTGGTTGACAGCCCCTCCCCCGGAGCCAAGCCTCGGTCTCCCCCACACCGCATTTGTGGCCCTGCATTTGCCCTCCTCTGCTCCCGCCCGAAGTCTGCAAGGGGGCACCCCTGCCCCGCCCTCCTCCCGGGCTCAGCTGCCTCCAAACCTGGAGTCCCGGAACCCCTCCGAGCCGGCTACCGGAAGGGATGTCCGGCCCGGCCGCGGACTCTCCGGAGCGCAGGAGGCGAAGGCGCCGGTCGGGCAGCTCAGCGGGCAGAGAGGCGAGGCTAGCGCGGATGGGCTGCAGCTGGGGGCGCCGGCGGGGGGGAGGACTCTCCCGCTGGAGCCGGGACACCGGGAGCACGAGCAGCCCCGCCTCCCGCCCTCTTGGATCAGCTGATGCGCGGGAGGGTCACGTGGCGCCGCTGCTCCGGAAAGACACAAAGTCCACGTGGCCGCCGCGTCGGGGCTGCCCCCTCCCACCACCCCCAGCAGCAGCTTTGGGGGCTTCTCCGAAGAGACGGGCCTCCCCCCCTCCCTTGCGGACGGGCACCCGGGGCTCATCTGCAGCGCGTTCCCCGCCTCCTGCACGCGCGGGCCGCCTTTCGGGGACCCGAGGCCTCGGGGCGGGGGTGGGGCGGCTGGTGCGGCGGGGTCCAGCAAGGGGCGCCTACAGCGGCCTCGGCCGGTCCTTGCTGGAGGAGGGCAACCCGGGAAGAGGGCGGCGGTGGGCGCTTCTGCCTTTGTTCGGCTTCTATAGCGGCGCCTGACTGAGAGGCGTCCGGTGGAGCCCCGTCGGGAGGGGAGAGTCAGCAATCGGGCAGCCTGTTGGGCCGCTTGGCGGGCAAACCCGGGGGCTGAGCGGCGTCGCGCTGCCTGCCGCGGCAGCACCTGCCGAGCAGAAAGCCCCTGGGCCGACTCCAGTTCATCCCCCAGCCGGCCCTTCCGGCCCTTCCGCCCCCTTTGCAAGAAGCCCCCAGCGGCCCCGAGTCCGTTGCAGGGGGCAGGCGGCGGTCAGAGAGCTCAACTTGGGCTGCTGCAAATCGAAGCGCTCATGTGGAAGGGGAAAACCGCACGACCCCCGGCCTGCTTTGAGAGTCCCGCCGGCATCCTCCGCTTCAGCCTGCGGAGGCTCATTCTGGACAGGCTGCGCCCGGGGAGTGGGCGCGCAGGGGGATTCCTGCGTGGGGGGGGGGAGAAGGCCGCCGCCGCCGCCTTCGTGGACTTCCTGAGCAGCCTGGCCGAGCGCCCCTCCCCCACGCCCACCCGGCCGAATGCGGAGCTTCGCAGGTAAAAGGGCGGGGCGGGGGGCGACAGACCAGTCACTGCCAGCAGCTGAAAGAGCCGCTGTCTGCGGAGGTCGGAGGGAGCCCCTGCGAGGTCCCTTAGTAGAGGAGCCGGAGCGAGGGGCGGGCTGTCTTCTGAAGGGAGGGGGGGGGCTGGACTCTGCTAAAGCTGAAAGAGGCCGAGCCGCTGCTCTGTTGGGCCAGAGAGCCGCCTGGCAGAGGCTTGCAGGTGCCCAGACTCGGGGTCCAGGATCCCACTGCCTCCAAGGCCCTCCTCCCATGCTTCCTTAGCCCCCTTCCCCCCCCCAGTGCACCCACAGCTTCGGATTCCTAATGCGCTGGGCAGCCTGACCATTAGGTGATGGGGAGATGGGTAGGGCAGCGCCGGGCGGCGGCAGCTCTGCCTGGAAACTGGGCTGCGTCGCCTCCTGTGACTCACCCAGGAATGTCTGGCGGAAAGGGGATTTGCTGCTGGCCAAGGACAGCGCTTTGGCTGGCCCACCGCCCACCCACCCACCCCAATTTGGAAGACACCATGGGGAAGGGAAGATGGGGCAGGGAACAAGCTGTTCCAACTTGGAAAAGGCCCCTTCCTCTTTGGAGTGGCTGCCCAGGGCTTTGGCCAGCTGAACGCTATCTCCTCCCCATGCCAACCTCTAGGGCAAAACCCTGTGGAGCCAGCCCTGCATGGAGTCCAGCTGGCCTCTGCATCTGCCCACCCACTCAGGGAGGGGGACAGCAAGTAAGTGGCATTCTCCTGCCGTGGCTCAGCTTGGAATGGCTGTCCAGGGAGAACTGAAGAGGTGGGCAAGAAGGGTGCCAAAGTCTGCCTGCCCTTTCCGTTTGGCCTCAGCCCCAGAACCACACAGGTAGGGCTCTCTCCCTACGCTCAGGCCCAGTGGGAAGGAAGCCTGGTGGACCTGTGGCCAACCTTGGCTACTGCTATGGGAATGTGTGGTGTTGCCAAGCATCACTCTGTATGCAGAGCCTTTGGCCGCAGCAAACGCCAGCTGGAAGGGCATCTGTCCCTGGGCTCCTTCTCCAGCCACCCTCTCCTCCTCCTGTTCCTTCAGATGGGATGCCCATTGTGCAGGGTGGCTGGAGAAGAAGGCACCCCCCCCATGCCCTCCCCTGCTGGCATCTCAGAGAGCCTCAAAGACCCTGCTGTTCACCCAGGCCTTGGGCAAGTCCCTGTACAAATATAAGAAATAAATGCATTTCAGGTTGGAGACTCATAGAAATGGAGTAGGTCAGTTCTACTCAATCTCGGCCACTTTAAGATGTGTGGACTTCAACTCCCAGAATTCCCCAGCTAGCAAGAGTGGCCCAGGTTGAGAAACATTTAAGACTTCCCATCTTTTGAATATCTACTGATGAGGCCTGAAAGTTGGGATCCCCTCAGAGTTTGGCATAAGATATGGACAGTTATACAAATGTTACAAATAAATAAAATGTATTTGCTTTCTTTGTCAACCCTTTGATGTATCAGATCAATGCTTACACCATTCCTGGCCAAGATACTCCGCCTGGTTTTGTGACTCAACGGAAAAGCATCGCATTTGTTTCCTTGCACACAATCCTGCTCCTCCTTTCACCCCCAGATCTTTTCTTAGTTCCCCCCCCCCCCCCCCCCCCCCCCCCCCCCCCCCCCCCCCCCCCCCCCCCCCCCCCCCCCCCCCCCCCCCCCCCCCCCCCCCGTTCTTCATGAGATTTGGTTATTTATATCTCAACCGCCCAGCTCCGTCTCTCCATCAATAAAGTTGCAGAATGGAAGATTCCTGCCCTGGCAGGACTAGAAGACCTCGGAGGCCCCTTCCAACCCCAGGATTCTGCCACCCTTCAGAAGCAGTCGCGGGTTTGTTGCGACCTTGCCACGCGTGCCCCCTCCTCGCTCGCCTGCCTTTACGGTCCCCTCTGCCCCTCCTCTCAGGGCCTGGCGGGGGAGGAGGAGGAGCTCGGATCGCATCGCACCCAAGTAGTCCGCTAGGCGCTCCCCGTTTCTTGCGAAGGCCCAGCCGGGCCAGAACCGCTCCAGACTCATCGGATTAACCGATGAGAGCTCCGCTCCAGCTGCTTCGCCCGCCCGGTCGGGGCAGGGAGAGGGGCGGGAGGGGGTCCGGGGCGCTCCTTTCCGAACCGAGCGGCTCGCTCTTGCCGGGGGGGTGGGGGGCGCTGGACACGCGGGATCGGGCGCAAGGGCGGCGCTGGCCCTTTAAGCAATCTGCACAGTCATCGTCCGCACCGCCAGGATTGCCAAGTCACCGGGTTCAATTCAGTTCTCTCGGCCACGCCCCTCGGGGGCCCTGATTGGCCTGCGGCCGAGGACAGCTCCACTTCCGATTGGGTCCCGCACTTTGCAACAACTTCTCGGAATCTTGCCTACGTCACCGAAGTGGAATTCTTAAAGCTGCAGTGCGCGCGAAGGGGGGCGGCGCGGGGGCGCCCCGGGGGCCTTTCCTGGCGCAGGAGTGGCGGCCTCCGGGGGGAGTGGTCGCGCCCCGCTTGGTTCTCTGGGCCGCGCCGCGCGTCCCGGGAGGCCACGGCTGCGCTCTGCGGGTCAGGAGGCCTCTGCGAGGACCGGGGGAGGGGCTCTCGCCCCTTTAAGGCCCCCTCCCGAGTGGAAGAAAATGCCAACTCACAGTGGCGCTGGGCATGACGGGAGGGCGCAGGCGGAGACGAAACTACATTTCCCGGCAGCCTCCTCCGCGCCGTGCCAGGGAAAGGAAAGGGCTCCTTGCCGCGGGTCAGGCCGGTGGCTCTCGCCAAGCCCCCGCCCGGCGGCCGGCACGTCGATCAGCTCCGCCGCATTCGCCCATTGGCCGCTTTCGCGAGGGGGGCTGTGACGGAACCGCCTCCGCTTCTGCCCATTGGCCGATCCGCCCGCCAATCCGAGGGCGGAGCGGCCGGGCGGCGATTGGGCGGCGAGCGAGGCGGCCAGCTGATCAGAGGCAGCGGCAGCCGGTGAGCGAGCGTGGCGGTGGCGGCGGCAGGGCAGGGCAGGCGGCGGTGGCGGGCCGAATGAGCGGTCGGCCGGCCGGAGTCTCCTCCGACGAAGGGCGGGGGGCCGGGCGGCGACACTCGGGGGCGACCCGGGGCCGGTTCTGGCCATCGAAGGGGTGGCGGCCGCAGTCGGGTCACCTTCCGCCTCTCCTGGTGG